TCTTCTCACTCTGAGTCTGGACTGTGCACTCCTTTCACCCTGGACTGTGCACCCCTCTCACTCTGGACTGTGCACCCCTCTCACTCTGGACTGTGCACCTCTCACACCCTGGACTATGCACCCTTCCACTGAGGACTGTGCACCCTCCACTGAGGACTATGCACCCCTCTCACCCTGGACTGTGCACTCTTCTCACCCTGGACTGTGCACTCTTCTCACTCTGGACTGTGCACTCTTCTCACTCTGGAGTCTGGACTGTGCACTCCTTTCACCCTGGACTGTGCACCCCTCTCACTCTGGACTGTGCACCCCTCTCACTCTGGACTATGCACCTCTCGCACCCTGGACTATGCACCCTTCCACTGAGGACTGTGCACCCCTCTCATCCTAGACTATGCACCCCTCCACTGAGGACTGTGCACCCCTCTCACCCTAGACCATGCACCACTCCACTGAGGACTGTGCACCCCTCTCACCCTAGACTATGCACCCCTCCACTGAGGACTTGCACCCCTTTCACCCTATACTGTGCACTCCTCTCACCCTGGACTGTGTACCCCTCTCACTCTGGAGTATGCACCCCTCCACTGAGGATTGTGTACCCTTCCCACCCTAGACTGTGCACCCCTTCCCCCCCCCCCCCGGATTGTGCACCCATCTCACTTTGAACTGTGCTCCCCTCAACTGAGGACTGTGCAACCCTCTCACCATAGACTGTGCACCCCTTTCACCCTGGAGTGTTAACCCCTCTCACCTGGGACTGTACATCTTTTCCCTCCTGGATTGTGTATCCCAATTACCTGGGACTGTGCACCCCTCCCCGCTTGAATTGGGCACCCTCTCAACACCCTGGGCTGTGCGCCCCTCTTACCTGGCACTGTGCATCAGTGCCACTGCTGCCTCCTGGAGTACGTAATCTGCAAATCCCAGGAGACACCAGGGGGACTGCACGTTATTCCATTTAGTACAGTAGGAGGGGGAGGCAGGCCTATTGGCACGTCATCGGGAGACTGCGCCTGAATCCAGAGGAGCCAGCAGTCGACTGATGATGTCAAGGGCAAAGATGGGAGCATGGGACCTGATTGCTGGCTGCATAGAAAAGGATCCCAGCAGGACAATGCTGGATCCGCTGGGTGGGTGGCAGGGGCGGACTGACAACTCATGGGGCCCCTGGGTAATAGGGGATCATGGGGCCCCTGTGTCCTTGCCCAAACTCAAAAAAGCCTATGAAAAAGGTACCAGGGGCATCTCATGGGACCCCCTACTGACCCCGGGCCCTCGGGCAGTGCCCGAGTTTCCAAATGGTCAGTCCGCCCCTGGTGGGTGGTAATCTGAACTGGGGACAACCCAGCATCAAGTAAGCAGGAGGAATAAAAAATCATGGGGGTGTGGAGGGTGAAGTTCAGCCACATATCAATGCCCATTGGTGATGCCTGTCAGTGCCTCCTCATCAGGACCACCTATTAGTGCACATCAGCAAAGGAGAAAAATTACTTATTTAAAAAATGTTATAACTGAAACTAAGAAAAACTTTTTTTTTCAAAATTAGCAAAAAAAAAAAACCCAGGGGTGATTAAATATCACCAAAATAAAGCTCTATATGTCTCAAAAAAATGTATATAAATTTCATTTGGGTACAGTGTTGCATGACTGCACCATAGTCATTCAAAGTGTGACAGTACAGAGTGCCGAAAATTGGCCTGGGCAGGAAGGGGGTAAAAAGTGCCCGGTGGGCGAGGGGTTAAGGAGGGGTGGGCTCCCTCCAGGCTTACCTGCCCTCAGTCTGTCCATTATTATACATCTGCTTCTGCTATGGGGGCTCTCAAAATGTATAGAGTTAGGAACTGCAGAATATTGGGGTGCCGTGCAGAGGCTCTGCAGCTTACCCATGTATTTGCAAATGTGTGCAAACTAAACTCCTTGTCTTTAACATGAACAGGATAATTCGGTTGGTTGCAGGCTGGTTGGTAAGTTGAGCTGGGAATTTGAGAGGAAACGTCCCGCCGCGCCCGCGTTCAGACACATCATTACAGAACACCACAGAGGGGGAAACAAATGAAAAGTAAATAAAAATTGCAGAATACGTGTTCCCAGGTGAGAGAGGGAGGAGAGAAGTAAGGCCAATGCTTTATTCCCCAGATCAAGCAATTCCATCTGCATGCAGAACAGCACAGAGCACTATGCCCCCCCATATACCTAGAAAACACTGGTCTGTTAAATTTCTGTGGTCACCCTAAAATGAGTTAGGGCCCATTCACACTACAACACACATAAAATCCCCATTTTTTCCATTTTTTTTATTGTGCGTTTTTATGCATGTTATTCTGTCTTATCAAAGGCAGATTTCCCTTGACCTAATTGTAATGAGAAGGTGCGTTGCAATGTGGTGCAATTAGTGGAAAAAAAAAAATGTTTTTCAATGATTATTATTATTATACAGGATTTATATAGTGCCAACCAGGGGCGGACTGACAACTCATGGGGCCCCCAGGCAAAAGGGAATCATGGGGCCCCTGTGTCCTTGCCCAAACTCAAAAAAGTCTTTGAAAAAGGTACCAGGGGCATCTCATGGGGCCCCCTACTGACCCCGGGCCTTCGGGCAGTGCCCGAGTTTCCAAATGGTCAGTCTGCCCCTGGTGCCAACAGTTTGCTCAGCACTTTACAACATGAAGGTAGACATTACAGTTACAATACAATTTGGTACAAGAGGAAATAGAGGGCCCGGCTCATAGAGCTTACAATCTAGGAGGAAAGGTTGAGTGATACAAAAGGTATAAGCTGTGTGGGGGGGGCTGATGGAGGAAATAAATTACAGTTTACTAGGTAGAAGCAAGACAGGCTTCTTTGAAGAGAAAGGTTTTCAGGGATCGTCTAAAGGTGGATAGATTAGCAGACAGCCGGAGAGGTTGGGGTAGAGAGTTCCATAGGATGAGAGAAGCTCGGGAGAAGTCCTGGAGGCGAGCATGGGAGGAGGTGACACGGGAACTAGAGAGCAGAAGGTCTTGGGAGGATTGAAGAGAGCGGTTTGGTGATGTCTACAGAACATCCTCCCAGTAGACAAGGCTACTCTGAATTCCTGCACCAGCATTGTCTTCATCTCAGTATTTATACACCAGTGCCCATATGTTTTCCGCCATGTCCCACTCTAATTTCTGCAACAATAAAATTCACTGCACCCTCCGCCATTTACAGTGACCACCCCAGACATTCCGAGGACGTATCATCCAGGTCATAGACAGACAGACGTCAGCGCTGCTTTCTCTGCTCGGACGTCCCCTCCTCCCTCTCTTACCGGGAACCCGTATTTTGCAATTTTTATTTACTTTTCATTTGTTTCCCCTTCTGCGGTGTTCTGTAACGAGATGTCTGAACGCGGCCGCGGCGGGACGTTTCCTCTCCCGCAGGGAGCTTGGTGGTAATCAGAGGCGCTCCATGGCCCACTGCCCTCTTGGTCCACCCTGTGGCTCACCTCAAATCCATCATAATTCCCCGGTTCCTGGAGGACGTTTGTCCCTTTACCATCGACTCATCCTTAAAAGCAAACTCTCTGGTTTGCTGTCATGCCAAAGCCTTGTGGACTTTCAATAAAACAGTCAAATTCTGATATGTAAGTTATATGGTCAAAAATAGGTCAGGTGATCCCAGCGAATGACCAGACTATAAATACGGCGAATGTTACATTGTGAGCACTCTAGACAGATTTCCCGGTATCTCCTCTCCTAGTAACCTCATCAACAATCCTTCCCCAAGTTACAAAAATGAGTGCTTTTGTTACCATCTATGTTCCCATTGTTGACCAATATCATAGGTGGGGAAAGTAATGGCATACTGCCCATCGCCAAGGAGTAGCAGTGCAAAATCACACTGCCTACTAAAGGTGGTCAACTTACCCAAAAAAGGAATCCTTAAGTGCAGCCCTTGATATTACCAATGGGTCACATATGGTACAATATTCACAGAAAGCTGTCAGAAAGTACAAAAATGTAACAGGGGATGATACAAGCAATGGTCAGAGACTTTTGGGATTTACTTCAGGGGATCGTCAAAGAATACAGATGTGCTACAGTTGCTGGCCAGAAACAGCAGATATGCTACAAGAGATGGTCAGAGACAGGGGCGGACTGACCATTTGGAAACTCGGGCACTGCCCGAGGGCCCAGGGTCAGTAGGGGACACCATGAGATGCCCCTGGTACCTTTTTCATAGGCTTTTTTGAGTTTGGGCAAGGACACAGGGGCCCCATGATTGACTATTGCCCAGGGGCCCCATGAGTTGTCAGTCCGCCCCTGGTCAGAGACTGGAGATTTGCTCCAGGAAAAGGTCAGAGACTGCAGATATGATACAGATGACGTCTAAAGATTGCAGATATGCTCCGGGAGCTGGTCAGAGACTGGGGTTATGGTCAAGCAGATGGTTAGAGACTGTAGATATGCTACAAAAGATGGTAAGATACTGGGTTATGCTCAAGCAGATGGACAATGACTGGTGTTATGCTCCAGGAGCGGGTAGGAGACTGTGGATATGCTCAAGGAATTGTCAGGAATTGGGTATTTGCTCCAGAATTTGGTCTGAGACTGCAGATATGCTCCAGGAGATGGTAAGAAGACTGGGAATGTGCTCCAATACATGGCCAGAGACTACAGATGTGCTGCAGATGTTGGTCAGAGATTGCAGATATGCTACAAGAGATGGTCAGAGACTGGAGATATGCTTAAGCATGCTTAAGCAGATGGACGGAGACAGGGCATATGCTTCAGGAGATGGTCAGAGGCTGAGGATATGCTCCAGGAGATGGTCAGAGGCTGAGAATATGCTCCAGGAGATGGTCAGAAACTGAATATAAGCTCCAAGAGATGGTCAGAGACTGGGGATATGGTCCAGGAGTTGGCCAGGGACTCTATATAAGCTCCTTGAGATAGTCAGAGACTAGGGATATGCTCCAAGAGATGGTCAGAGAATGAGGATATGCTCCAGGAGATGGTCAGAGACTGTGGATATGCCACAGGCAGGGGCAGACTGACAACTCATGGGGCCCCCGGGCAATAGGGGATCATGTGGCCCCTGTGTCCTTGCCCAAACTCAAAAAAGCCTATGAAAAAGGTACCAGGGGCATCTCATGGTGCCCCATACTGACCCCGGGCCCTCGGGCAGTGCCCGAGTTTCCAAATGGTCAGTCCACCCCTGGCCACAGGAGATGGTCGGAGGATGCAGAAAAGCTCTAGGAGATGGTCAGAGACTGCACATAAGCTCTATGAGATGGTCTGAGTCTGGGGATATGCTCCAGGAGATGATCTGAGACTCTGCATATGGTCCAGAAGATGGTAAGAGATTGAGGATATGCTCCAGAAATTGGTCAGGTATTGGTTATATGATCCAGGAATTGGGCAGAGACTGAGTATATGCTCCAGGAGACAGTCATTAATTGGAGAAAGGTTATATGAGACTGCTAGGGACCACTGCCTTTGCAGACCCTTGACAAATCAGTTGGTCCACATTTGTGCCCACAACAGCCCCACAAAAAAGACTTGTCACATTTCATATTATCACAGGAAGATCCCTTATAAATGATCAGAAGCAATAAAAAGAGTTAAAGGATGGATACCATAGAAAAAGTAAAATAGCTTAAATTAAATAAACAACTACAAGTGTTCTGAAAAAAAAAATTTTTCAATGGCTTAATTAAGCACCAAAACATAGATTGGTGCCCTCAAGGGCTGCGCAATGAGTGACAAAGGGCCACATGTTGCCTTTGGGCCACAGGTTGGGCACCAAGGGCCAAAACCTTCTGATCTGGGATCAAAAATCTTTGCCAAAGGCTGAATTTAAAATCCAAAAACAGACATGTATACATAAGTGTTATACATAGTTAGTGTTACAGTGTGATATACAGTTGTGCTCAAAAGTTTGCATCCCCTGGCAGAAATGGTGAGATTTTGGCATTGATATTGAAAATATGACTGATCATGCCAAAAACTTTTATTCAAGGATAGTGATCATAAGAAGCCATTTATTATCACATCGTTGTTTGGCTCCTTTTTAAATCATAATGATAACAGATATCACCCAAATGGCCCGGATGAAAAGGTTCCCTCCCCTGGAATGTTTGGCCTTGGTACAGACACACAAGGTGACACACTCAGGTTACAATGCCAGTTAAAGGTTAATTTCCCACATTTGTGGCTTTTTAAATTGCAATTATTATCTGTGTATAAATAGTCAATGAGTTTCTTGGCTCTCACATGGATTCACTGAGCAGGCTAGATACTGAGCCATGGGGAGCAGAAAAAGAACTGTCAAAAGACCTGCATAAGAAAGTAATGGAACTTTATAAAAATGGAAAAGGATATAAAAAAGTATCCAAAGCCTTGAATATGCCAGTCAGTACTGTTCAATCACCTATTAAGAAGTGGAAATTTCAGGGATCCCTTGATGCCAAGCAAAGGTAAGATAGACGAAGAAAGATTGCAGCCATAACTGACGGAAGAATTGTTCAGGATACAAAAAAAAATACTAGTAACCTCAGAAGAAATACAGGCTGTTCTAGAACAAGAGGATGTAGTTGTTTCAAGGAGTACAATGCAATGATACTTGAACAAAAATGAGCTGCATGGTCAAGTTGTCAAATGAAGCCTTTACTGCGCCAATGCCACAAAAAAGCCGGGTTACAATATGCCCGACATTACCTTGACATGCCTCACAGCTTCTGGTACACTGTAATCTGGAGTGACCAGACTAAAATAGAGCTTTATGGTCACATGTTTGGAGTAACAAGAATACCATCCCCACTGTGAAGCATGGTGGTGGCTTACTGATGTTTTAGGGGAGTGTGTGAGCTCCAAAGACACAGGGAATCTTGTGAAAACTGATGGCAAGATGAGTGTAGCATGTTATCAGAAAATACTGGCAGACAATTTGTATTCTTCTACTTTCCAGCTCGGCAATGACCCGAAGCACAAGGCCAAGTTGACCCTCCAGTGGTTACAGCAGAAAAAGGTGAAGGTTCTGGTTTGGTCACTCTGGGGAAATCTCAAACCTGTGGTTCATGCAAGATGACCAAAGACTGCATGACCTGGAGGCATTTTGCAAAGACAAATGGGCAGGTACCACTTGCAAGAATTTGGGGTCCTCATAGACAACTATTACAGAAGACTGCTCTCTGTCATTGATGCGAAAGGGGGCAATATACAGTATTAAGGGTACATGTACACAGGGTGTTTGGGAAACTCTTCTGAACGATGGAAACTGATTGCTGAAAAACGTAGGTTAAAAAACATCTCTTTAGCTGCGTTTGCATACCGTTTTTATGCGCATTTGCGTTTAGAAGCGATTTTTAAAGATAACCTCAGGAGACCTTCCAAAATGCCCAGAATGCACTGAAAAATAGTAAAAAATTAACTATTTCAGACATTTTGAGAGGAATACAGAGATCAGAAGCAGAGAGAGCAGTATGTGTTGAGGTGACTTGTCTTCTGGTTGTATTCACTATGGATCCCATCATGAGCATAATGCGGTGCGTTCTACCATTGTTTCCTTCACGCAAAACCTGGAACTGACTGGTGTGCCGGGTCTATTTGAATACATGGAAAATGCTTTGCATGCATTTCTGATGAGAAAAAAAGGCTCTAGACAGCATCTGGATATGGAACAGTTAAAAAACGCTTCTAAACACAAATGCTTATAACCGCGGTTAACCACGTTTACAAGCATTTACAAGCCTTTGGCGTTAGAAATGCTGGTAAAATCTACTCCTGAACGCAAGTTTGGTGCGTTAAAAAAAACGACTGTAAACTCAGCTGCCTGTAAATGACTGTAAATGATGATGTGTACATGGACACATATAGGAAAACAATAGGGAGAGTTGAGGGGCTGCTGAAAAAAAAATGCAGAAAAGCTCCTAAACGTGAGTTTAGCAGCTGCAGTGTACATGAGCCCTAAGGCCCCATGTGCATGGGACACTTCTGAATGATGGAAACTGACTGCTGGAAAATGTAGGTTAAAAAACGTCTGTTTGCATAACGTGTTTATGCGTTTAGAAGCATTTTTTAAAGATAAGCACAGGAGAACCTCCCAAATGCCCAGATTGCACTGAAAAGTGGTAAATTATTAACTATTTCAGACTGTTTCAGAGAAATACAGAGAGTAGAAGCAGAGACAGCAGTATTGAGATTAGCTTAAGTGTGAGTTGCTCATTAACATTTCTTTTGTTTCCAAGAGTGGGAAAGGTGTCTGGTGGAGGGAGTCATTAAGGCCACCTGGGGGGTCTTCATGAGGAATTTGAGGTGTGAATGGTCATTAACATATCTTTTGTTTCCAAGGGTGGGAGAGGTCTGAGGTGTGAATGGCTATTAACATATCTTCTGTTTCCAAGGGTGGGAGAGGTCTGAGGTGTGAATGTTCATTAGCATATATTTAGTTTCCAAGGGTGGGAGAGGTCTGAAGTGTGAATGGCTATTAACATATCTTCTGTTTCCAAGGGTGGGAGAGGTCTGAGGTGTGAATGTTCATTAGCATATATTTAGTTTCCAAGGGTGGGAGAGGTCTGAAGTGTGAATTGGTCATTACCATGTGTGACAAGCTTGGTAGGAACATCCTGTGTTCAGTGTTTTATCTATCTGAGCACCTTGAAAATGCTTTGCATGCATTTCTCATGATGAAAAAAGGCTCTGGACAGCAGCGGGAACTGGAAGAGTAAAAAAAAAAATTTGAACAAAAATGCTTATAAATGCTTTTACAAGCGTTTTGCATTTGAAACGCCTGTAAAATCTACTCCTGAACGCAAGTTTGGTGTATAAAAAAAACCCTATAAACTCAAATGCCGACTGTAAACGAAGATGTGCACATGGACACATAGGAAAACATTAGGGAGAGTTCAGGGGCTGCTGAAAAAAAACGCTGAACAGCTCCTAAACGTGAGTTTATCAGCTGCAGAGTACATGAGCCCTAAGAATTAAGGGGATGCAGATTTTGGAACAGGGGGCATTTCATTGGTTTACTTGTTGCCATTATTTGTTTTATGATTGGCCCATTCAGTTATGACCTACAGTTACAGAATATGAATCCCATAAGACAGCGGTTCTCAACCTGGGGGTCGCGACCTCTTTGGGAGTCAAACGACCCTTTCACAGGGGTCGCCTAAGACCATCGGAAAACACATATTTCCGATGGTCTTAGGAACCGAGACACCATTCCTCTATCCGTCTCCAGGTGGGTCCGACCAGATGCAGATACGCCCACATACGAATACCCAGCGTGATAACATCACCGCGCCAACCCCATCACATACACCCCCTACAAATACAGGTGTATGTGACAGGGTTGGCGCCATAATGTACTTATGTGGACCAGTCACACATGTGTAAAGAGCAGCTACTGTGCAGAAAGTAGCTACTGTGTTGAAAGCAGCAGCATTGGAGGTAAAACGACACTTCATGAATTATAATTACTGGGTAAATGTAAAATCATGTACTGTAAATATATAATTACATATTGTTTTTGTGATTAATCACTATGCTTTAATTATGTTCAATTTGTAACAATGAAAATACATCCTGCATATCAGATATTTATATTACGATTCATAATAGTAGAAAAATTACAGTTATGAAGTAGCAACAAAAATAATTTTATGGTTGGGGGTCACCACAACATGAGGAACGATATTAAAGGGTCGCGGCATTAGGAAGGTTGAGAACCACTGCCATAAGAAATAAAAGAATCCCATAAGAAATAAAAGAAATGTTTTTTGCTGGCTCATTCACGTTTTCTTTAAAAATGGTCCATACCGTATATGACCAATTCTCCTAGAGGAAGCAAACTTTTGAGCACAACTGTATACTGTAGAAATACAAATAGTTCCAATGTTATGTATAGATATAAATAGTTACAATATTATGTATAGATTATTATTATTATTATACAGTATTTAAAAAGCGCCAATAGTTTGCTCAGCGCTGTACATTACAAAGGGGGACAGAACATGTGACAGAACAATACCAATACAATGCAAAACATGAGGGGATCGAGGGCCCTGCTTCTTGGAGCTTACAATGTATAGATATAAATAGTTACAATATTATGTATAGATATATATAGTTGCAATGTTATGTATAGATATAAATAGTTGCAATGTTATGTATAGATATAAATAGTTACAATATTATGTATAGATATATATAGTTACAATATTATGTATAGATATAAATAGT